TCTGTTCTAACCATGGATGAAAACCTTTCCATGCTAGTCTCAGGAAAGCCTCATAGAGCAGCTTGTGCAGCCCTACTGCTCGATTGTACCTGTGACCATCAATAACCCCTGAAACTGAGCCATCAGCCATCACTCCTGCCTCCACACAAAGGTCTCTTAGATCAGCATCTGCAAACCGTTTTCCAATTGTTGCCACGAATGTACAGGTAGTATGGAAGACCCCCATTCTAAGGATGATGCTCTTGAATAGCTCCTGGTGTTTCCAGGTAATTTCTGCAGCTTTGGCATATAATGCCTGATCAAAAACAACAACAATGTTGTTGAGCTGCAAAGACTTTATGATGTTTATGGACTGGTGAAGTACCTCATGTACTGTTGATAACTGTGTAGCTGGAGCATTGATTGTGGGCAAATAGCCTATACTATCGTCTTGTACACTTGTATCATTGTGCGTGAGGATGTTGAACCCAGTCCAGCTGCAAACATCTTTGTTGGTAAAATGAGCCATTAGCCACATGTGGTTTCTGCCTGCTGCACCCTCTAGCAAGGAGGCATGATTGGTGTCAACCGTCTGTATAACAGGAGGATTGGCATGCTCTCCTGCATTGTAAATGGGAAGTACCATCTCTACTGCTTCAATGCTTCTCTTCTTGGTTTTGGGGATGCAAGGGAAAGCTCTGGTCTCAACAGGATGATCAGCAATAGGTTTTTTTTGCACAGCAATTCCATTCACTCTGTGATGTCCCTTCACCACTGATTGTCTCCTCTAGTCTGTCTATATTGTCCCATGCCAATGTTGTGAACATACCGGGCTTGATGTTTTGTGGTAGTGGGATGGCATCTGCACTTGCTGCTTGCTTCTGAAGGCAGAGGGCTGTGTCAATTTCTTCTACCTGAGAATATGAAACACCATGGCCGAGTCTATTCAGTATCTTTATCAGTTCCACGTTTCCAGTGAGTGACTTGACAGCAAAGGGCAACACAATCTGTTTTGTAGGCTTGACTTTGCCGCAAGTAACAGCATAAACTAGGTCTTGGCTGAATGAAGCTGTGAGCCTTTGGACCCTCTGGGATGGGTTATCACCTACTTTCGATGACCCTGTTAGGAGTGTCTGAAGAAACCCCACTAGAGATGTAGGAGTGCTGTTCATCATCTCAAGATCTGACGCATGTGGTGGCCATGCTTGAGTAATATCTTGGTTCCAAATATCATCTCTGATCTTCAGTGCCGCTTGCGATATGACGTCTTCACTAATGCTTGATTTGTGCTCCTTCATCTTTTAGTTTCTGGCAAACTGTTACAAGTTCATCCATTATCAAATTGTCAGGCTATACCAACAGCTTTCCTCTGTCATTATGTATGATGTGTAAAGATTCACCAAATTCAGCTTCAGCCTTGTGACGTAGGTGTTTCTTTGTAGAAGGTGCCACTTGTGTTGCACCACATTCAGCCATTTCTGTCATCAGTTTAGAGGCCAGGTCTGTGAATGGTACACACTGTAGGATGTTCAATCAGTCCTTCCCTAATGTATGCAAAAACTTTGGAGAGCACCATTCTTTCTGCTGCTTCATAATGACATTCTGCTTGGTCCAAATTAAGTTCACCTTTGTCTATGTCTGTACTTAGATCCTTTGTATACACCCTGTAGCAGGATCTGTGATAATGACCTTCAGCTGCTACTAGTTCATGGCTGACTATGGCTAGCATTCTGTTGTCACCTTTCCTGACAGCTGCCCTCCTGATTGTATCATCAGCTCTCAACTCTCTGCATTTTGTCAGGCTCTCTTTTGTCCTTTGACCTTTCTTGCTACATTTGTCACAAAATATACATTTGGCCTCATATACCCTTGATGCCGATGGACCTTGTCTAGTGGATTTTCTTAAGTCTTCTGTGAGAGATCTTTCTGCAGAACTTTCTTTTGCAAGGATGCTGTCAAGCAGTTTCTTCATAGTGAAGATGCTATGACATTTCCTGTGATACAATACTGATGGTATGCTACCTTCAGGTAGGTCTTTAGCAAGATCAAGGATGGGGCTGTAGCCTCTTATTTTAGCTGCTCTGAGTAATGTGTTCCATGAATCTATATTCGTAGGTGTCACAAGGTTAGAGTCATCATCCGAACAGTGTATTAAACAATCTGGCTTCTGTTCTGCCATAATTCTCTATTCTCTGATGTACATTGCTCTGAAAATAACAAAAATACAGGTATATCAATAACATGGACCATTTAAATATGTGGTACTAAAAATAGCATCAGGACTAGCTGTTTCCAATTTGTATAAATGCTAGTTTGTGCAACAAAGTAGAGAAGTAATGTGGTTTTGAAATCCCATGAAATTTCAGCCTTCCTGCACTCTCTGCATCTTCACACACTCATCAGTCTTTTTTAATTACTCACGAAGTTGTTGTTGTAGAAAATGGGTATCAAATGAAAGAGTGGACTTTCTGCTTCACAGTGACGCTAGTACCTTGATTGTAGAACAAAGATGGTCAGAGTAATCTTCATTTGAAAATGCATACAATTCAACAATGTTGCAATCATCGGTCATTTCTTCACTCATGGTCATTTTTTCACTGAGTCATAGCTGAATATGGTGCAAAGTTCTTGTAGCCTCCAAGGGTAAATACTGTAACACATATCGAAATAAACAGCAAGACAACTTTTTTTCGATGCTGCTATTGGCTTATCTGTACAACGAAGTATGGTGGATTAATCTGGTTTTGAAACTAGCTCCAGTCGTTGCATATTTCATATACTGTTCATACCTATTTTTGTCAATTTGCTAGGTCATGGATTGTCCCACCACCATGGTTCTGATATCATCTGATTATAGAGAGTCTTGGCTATCCATATCTGAAAAGGTATCCCCACTAATATCAATATGTTTTGAGATAGATATACAAATATAACAATTTAATAGATGCAAACAATGTTTTCTTTAATATGAAGGCTAACATAAAACGTATACAACAAATATCATGTCAAATTGTGGCAGATATGGATAGCCCTGACTGTCCTTAAAAAATCAACATATAGCATGTATGGCTACCTCCTACAATAGACTTCATAGAAACCTGCTGTGCAGATACTGTAGGATGATAATGACAAAAATAATGATTGTCCAAAAAGATTAATAAAGCTACTCATTTAAAATGGTTATCATGTTTCAAAGTACTTATATGGACTCTACAAACAAACTGGTACCAAAGGGATTTTGCCACTTTAGGTGGTACCAAATTCTGGCTTGGCCCATGGACTAATTTATTCTACTTAACAGATGTTTTCTTAGCCCCTAGACCTGCTGCCTGCAGCTATACTGGACTATGAATTTGCACCAGCTACTTGCAGAACCTAAATGACAAATTCAATGCATTTTGTCTGATAGAAGCCTGGTTACAGGAAATGCAAATTCAAGCATCAGTATGGTCTAGGTGTGATGTAACGCAATTGGTCTAATTTGCCTAAAAGTTTACAAGTCTTACAGTCGTAATATCCTTTTACAGGCACATAAAGAGGCTACACAATTAAAAACCAGGATAGGAGATTGCCCCCACTCAAATGTTGCCTCAGTTTGAATTTAATATCATTTACCATCTACTCTAACCTTCTATGTAACACAGGGTTGGTGGTAGTGGAGCTGTATTCTCACAGAGACAGCCATGAAAGTTTGCTCTGAATGAGCCTGAATGGGTTTTGTGGACAGGGAAGAGAGTGACTAAAGAATAGAATAATATTTTCATTTCACTCATGTGGAAAAAAGGAAACATTTGCAGCCACAAGTTTTTAATGCGCTTGTTGCAGGATGGAAAGAAGACTTTAATGGAGTTACTTAGGTAGGTACCTCTTCTGTGGTAGGTTTAGCCTCTTGAGCTTTGCCTCCTTCTGCTGTCTCATTTGGTTTGGGCAAAAAGTCCATCTCGTCTTTGACCAACTCTATTATCCTGGAGTCTGCAAAAGCTCTGGCAATGTCGAGGCAGTTTTGTCCTGCAAAGAAATAAAATATTTCCAGTCACACAACAGCAGAAATCACACTGGTACCATAAAAGGCCAAATTATTAGAATAACTGTAAACTATTTGTTGGAAAATTTAACTAGAGTTGGAAAAAAAAATCCAATGGATCTTACAACCCCCAAATCAGAAAAAGTTGGGACGGTAAATTAAAATTAAAATTAAAACTGAAAATAGTGATTTGTAAATCATCTGTGTCCTGTATTGCACTGAAACAATACAGCATTATTTGATGTGATACCTCATCAGTTCTATTCTTTGTTTAAAATGAACACTCACTTCAATTCTGGTGTCTGCAACACATTCCAAATACAGTTGGGACAGTAAAGAATTTACCGCAGTGTGATGTTTCCGTTCCTTTTCACAACACTTAAAAGACGTTTAGGGACTGAGGACACCAAGTGATTAAGTGGGTCAGGTGTCATTTTGTCCCATTCCTCCTGCAAACAAGTCTTAAAGTGCACAACAGTCCTGGTTTTTGTTGATGCACTCACCTGTTAACAAATTTCACCAATTTTAACACCAGTTTCAAATGTAATCATCATTTCAGCGTTTTACTTCATTACTAGCCCTGAAATGCAACCATCTCAACTTTATTTGGGATAAGTTGCAGGCCTCAGAGTGTTTATTTTGAACAAAGCATAAAATTGATGAGGTATCACATCACATAATTTGCTGCTCTATTGTATTCAATGCAATACAAGACACGGATGATTTACAAATCATCAGATTCAGTTTTCTTTCTTTTTGATTTTATATTACTTATGATTTGATTCCCAACCTTTTCTGATTTGGGGTTGTATTTCCTATGGTGCATCCTCTAAATGTTATAAAACCCAATTCAGTTATAGTCCTATACATTCATATGAGTCTGTTACTAGTGTACATTAAAACCTGTTCCAAGTGGAAATGGATTTCAACATTAATATTTTTACCGAACTTTGATATATTTATGATTTACATTACCTTTCTTGTTCTCTGCATTAACACTGGCACCTGCCTTGATGAGGAAGTCCACACAGGAGGGGCGAGAGCTCTGAATGGCCCTCATGAGGGGCGTGGCGCCACCGAGGGCCTGGGCATTTACTGTGGCCCCAGCCTTCACCAGAAGTTCAATGAGTTCCACATGGCCAGCGTAAGCTGCATGGTGTAGAGGTGTCCACAAGAACTGATCACACACATTCACATCTGCCCTGTCAGGATGAGTACAAAGATTCTGTGTAATTCTTTCAATCAAGTTCAAACCCCTTAGGTTATAATCAAAAACAAAGTATATTTGACTTTATGGCCAATTGTTTGTCTTTAGATTTGACTTTTTTAAATTTACCTTATATATGAAAAGATTTCAGCTGCCAAATGTCAAATATACAGTATATAATAATAATAATAATAATAATAATAATACATATCTAGACATCCCTGAATATCGCAGTGAGGAATGTCATTTAAAATGGCCTTGTTTGTATCATACAGTAAAATCTAACTCTGCATAAAAAGAAGGGTTTGAAATGTCTGCTGATTAATGATGGATTATTCATTTTAGGAAACTCTTCTTACATAATCCACCAACACCTGTTTTTGAAACTGGAATGTTTCATCAAAATTTTACAATTTGTGTTTTTGTGCATATACATTAAAATTATCTGTTGCTGTAATTCAAACTTATTTGTGACAGATGTTTTGAACAGCTTTGTTTGGAACTTGCACTAAATGTTTTACAGTAAAGTTATAATCCTTAAGATTGTATTTTTTCTGCATTAGCTATTCAACCAGGTTTTGTGTCATTTTGTATTGGTTCAGTGGACAAACATAAGCTTTTAATGTCAACCAGTCACACATGTGTCGCTGAAGTGTGTCTACAAGACAGGACATTGTCATTGGCTCCATTTTTTGTTTAGATGCATTCTAAACAGGCACATCAGTCGCCCTCTGTTGTATTTCTGACAACAAAGTTGCTCGAGTTTTTGCTGCCCCCGGAATTTTGGGAGCTGTAGTATAAAATCACATTTGTTCTTACCACCAGAAACTATGGGGGTCACCAAATTAACCTAGGAATGAATCTTAATTCACATTTTTGTTCATAGGTTTTACTTAGCTGTGTTAAACAACCATCACAAATGCAGCTAAAAGGCATGTCTGTCTGTAAAAAGTGTCTCTAAAACCAGAAATAAAAAAATCTCACCCCTGGCCGAGGAGGTACTGAGCTACCTCGTAGTTGCCACTGGAGCAGGCCACCATCAGCGGGGTCTTGTAATACTGATCGTGAACATCCACAGGCACCCCCTGACTGAGAGCCAGATCCAGAGACTCCAGATCTCCACTTTCCACACAGGAGTTGATATTGACATAGACCTTCTGTGGCTTCTCCAAGTACCATCCTGAGTCATTAACTATGGGATGTACTGGAGGGTGATCAGGGTCGAATCGCAGAAGGTCTGAGCCGTTGTGGTATGTCTCGATCATGAAGTGAGGTGGGCCTCCGTCTGGGCGCCGGGGCATAAACTGTGGTGGGAGAGTGCAAATGGGCACTGGGGGGACAAATTTACCCTTCTTCTTACCTCCTTTTCCTCCCTTTTCCCCCCTTTTCTTTTTAGGCATGTAAGAAGAGAGGAGGAATGGCTTTTGGATGTATTTGACTCCTTTGATGAAATCATCAATGTTGACATAACCCTCTTTTCCCTTCGCATGAGCTGAGATAATTGTGTTTAGCTGGTCTTGTTCAACTGGAGCTTTTAGCTTTTCTAACACTGCAATAAACATCTCTGTAGTAACTGTGTCTGATTCGTTCCCAAAGGCTTTCCGTAATTCAGCCTCAAACACATACGACCAGTCGTAGAGGGTCAGGGCCCAGAGATCTGACATGAGGGTGTCCTCGCTGGATTTCTTGCCTTTCCCCTGTTTGTTCTCAGCCTTTCTCAGCTCTTTGGCTCCTGCTTTGTGACCAGCACCATTGGCGATCTGACGTGGCAACAAACCTTCCTTATTCCTTAGTTTTGGGTTACAGCCTGAAAGACAGAGCACAGATTTATGAAAAATATAAACACAAGGTCGAATTACTTCATTTAATTTGGGATTGTGTTTGCAGCTGCAAATTTAATTTTATTTATCAAATACTTGACCATGAAGAAAATTTAATTTCCTGGTGCTACATGTATCATATAAGCTTTCAATATATAAACACAAAGAGAGACCAGTAGAGGGGCTGTTTCCATCCTGAGACACCAAAGGCATTAGGAGTAGCAATCACAGGTCTGTCTTTGCCTTATCTATGAAAACCCCAAAAGCTGAAGTTCACTGCGCTGACAAGAGGATGCCCATTACTGTTTGCCTCTGTCACATTACCTCTCTGAGCCAGGAACTTGCAGCAGTTAGCATTGTCGCCGGCTGCAGCATAGTGCAAGGCCGTGCATTCCTCCAAGTTGATCACACCCATGTCTGCTGAGTAAGCAGACAGCACCCGAATTACCTGGAAGGCAGAAAACACCACAGAAGAACACATCACACAATCCTTCTAATCTAAATATAAAATACAGTGTACACTGAAAAGAAAAGAATGTATAAGAAACAAACGTAATGGAAATTATATCAGTTACTTAATCAGTATTAAACAGTGAAGTTCAGTGTCTGAGCATGCACCTCAAAAAATCCTCCCATAGCAGCATAGTGCACTGCTGTGAAGCGTTTTCGGTCTAGGGCGTTGGGGTTTCCCCCTTTACGGAGAATGGCTTTTACAAGCTGCAGGGAGCCTGCTTTTGCTGCCTCCATCAATGCTGTGACACCAGTTTCCTGAGGAGAGGAGAAGAAAGGACAAATCCAAAGTCAGTCAGGGCTCAACAAACAACACACAGAGCGTCTCAGCTGCAAATATCTTCTCACTACACTATGCTGTATACAGGATAACCTATAGGATAAGCTATCACTCCCACCTACTGCATGATGACTATATAATACAGTTTCCATCAAATTTTTTACCTGGTTTGTTGTGTTGGGGTCTGCCCCAGCATCCAGCATCATGAGACATATGTGGGCCCACTCCTGGGCTTTTTCACATATCAGCTGGAAGACATGAGTCCCCTTGGCTGACACGTTGTTGGCGTCTGCCTGGTACTTCAACGCCAACTGCAGGCAGTAGGTGTGGCGCTTGGTGGGGTACATACAGTAGAACAGCACACCTAAAGAGTGGTTTAGACAAGTAGGCGAGATTTCTGTGTGACATGTAGCTTTTGAATTAAATCTCTTGAAATATAAATCTCACTATCAACATCATCTAGTATGAATTTGGCCAGAGGTATTCTGGTAGCCAAGTGGTTCAATACATTCCAAATGCTGTAAATTAAGATTTTGAACATTGGGGGCTGTGACCCCTAAACTGGGAGAGTGGCTCCAACAGATCCCAGGAACAACATCTGAGATCTCTGTCCAGAAGAGTGCAGTGCTAGGAACAGCTAAGATACTGCACAGGACCCTCAAGCTCCCAGGCCTCTGGTAGAGGACCCGAGCTTGAAGGAAGGCATACAAGACCGCCCCAAAGTGAGGGGGGTGAGTGGGGAATTTTTATATATATTGAAAGTTTTGTGATGATCAGAGCAGTCCACAAGAAGAGGCAAGGAATGTACCTGGTTTTAAATTGTATGTACGATGGAGAAATAACTTGTTAATTTACAGGCATATAACAGCTGGGCTCTAGGCCTGAAGTTCTACAAATTATCACAATATGTGGCAAATGTTGTCAATAAGGCTGTGTGTGTTCATGCCAAAGAATCTGCAATTGTCCATGAAGGACAGGTGCCCAAGGTTCATGTCAAGTTTTTTTTTCATATTACCGAGCTCATTTTTTTAACCTTTATTGTCAAGCTGAGTTTTGCTGTGAGAAATGCTCTCGTTTACAGGA